TAATTTTGTTGAAAATATTTTATGAATTAAAATTATACTTGGGTCTGCGTGGAAGGCTAGGAAATCCTCTCTACTGGATTGTTGCTCTCAGTGTACCTTTGAAATCTCAGTATACCTCTTTGTAACTGCTTCTTGAAGACCCAACCTTACACAACCGACTGCTGCTTGCCTTATATGTTGACAATTAGCAGAACAAAAAAAATCTGGCCAGCAGGGACTGAGCTGTGCTAGGGTTGGTCTTGAGGCCACCAGCTGTTCTCATGAGACAAGGCTGCCTGTCCCAAAATCTGGCTGAAGAAGGTGCCACATCTCAACTGTTGCCTGACCCCACGTGAAACAAGTGAATCGACATTCAAAGCTTCAGTAAAAAGCAGTAAATCCCTATTCTCGCCACTTAAGCTTTCTAGAATTTTTTTATGTGAACCAAGCCAACCTGTATTATATTGTTATATGATTTTGCTTCTTAGAGGGTACAACTTTAAAAATTAAAAAGTTCTTCACAGTATTTCAGTGCATTTGAAAGTTTAGAATCTCATTTCTACTGGTCATTGAAAATATGAATTATATTACATGTGAAGTAGTTACCTCTTTTGGGCTTATGCTACGGAACAGCAGTAAGGGCTGAAGGGGAGAAATATTAAGAACATGATGGCCCCAAAGGGAGTTTTCTGTCTCTCCCCTTTCAGAGTCCTGCTAATCTGTGGCAGCAAACAGCCTTTGCTAGATTCCCTGCCATTCTCCTCGATGTTTTTACATGATGCTGAAGCTCCGTAGGGTTAGGTACTCCCAGTCTATTTTACAAGAACAAAGACCAAACCAGATGGCTCTCGCCTGCTGTTCCTCATTGACAGGCACAACTTAAAATATTTCAGTGTAATATACTGGCCATATGTTTTCATGTATTGTCCATGCAAACAATTATCTTTTGTGCACAGAGATGCCCGATTTATTTTAAACTGTGGAAGTAAATGCTCTGGTCCGCTTCCTTCTTGTTCTTTTTTTTTTTTTCTTGCAGATGTTATGTATAATGGAGAAATGAATGAAAAGATAAAGTTACTGTATAAGCTGCATATCCCACCTGGTAAGAAATTTGAAAGGGCGTGAATACCTCAGTTTGCCTCGAAACTCTTGCTTAAAGCTTTTGGGAAATGCTTAATGAAGAACCCTATCTTGCTTCCTTCAGCTGGGAGAACATAGGATTTGCATTTGTAGTTATGCTCACCGGATTTTAAAGTTTACTCCAGTCAAAACCTTTTTGGGTGAAATTTATAGATAGACACTGTCAAGGCTCACATCTGCTGCGTTCAGAGATCTTTTGCAGCCAATTACCTGGTTACTTCTAGACAGTTATTGAACTGGAATAACATTTCTGGATGGCTAGCACTCCATGTATATCGCATCTTGATCCAGTTCTGATTAGGTGACAAAATTCTGTGGTAGTTTCTCTGTGCAAGGCTTTTAATTAAATGTGCCATTCTTGGCAAACTTCCAACTCTCACTGCAGCACCAGTCTTACTTACACTAACATAATTTTACAGTATGATTTAATGAAGTACTGTTTAAAAACACCTTTGCCCAATTATTTTGCTTTCTTCAAATATGTAAATTTTAAAAGCATAAATAACCATTATGCAGCACTGGAAGCATTAATCATTAACTTTTTCACTTTTTTTGGCTAGCTCTCACAGAAAATGAACGAGACAGCCAGTCACCGTTAAAGAATCCTCTGCTGTCAACTTCAAGACCACTAGTCATTGGAAAAGCAAACGGTATGTCCGAAATGGTTCTCTAATGCGCGTGCATAGGAGATAACCAACTCCATTATCTCCACTCGCTGGGTTTTATTTTGAAATGTCAGTTTACTCCAGCGACTTGAGAACTAATTCTCCTTTCTGTGTCTGCTCCAAAAAAGGTGATGCAGTAGATTACCAAAAGCAGTTGAAGCAGATGCTGAAGGATCTAGCCAAAGAAAAGGATACTAAAACTGAAAAAGAATTGCCAAAAATGAGCCAGGTATGTATACTAGGGGCTATGGTCTGTTTTTAAAGAAGTGGAGAGTACTTGAAAATGAAATGACTAAATACAACGGTTATACTCTCTCAGAAAAGTTAAACTTAAGCCTGAGCTTAGATTCAGTCCTTTACATATCAAGGATCGGGCTACTCTGATCCAGGGAGCATGCATCATGTTTAAAAACTCTCAGCCACCTTTCTAGCAGCTCCCTCGCCTCAGACTGCCTGGTGAATAGAAAGAATTTCAGACTTACCCTCACCTGCAGCTTAACAGGCTAGAAAACACACTCATTCAGGCTGGAAAAAGCCCTCCTGCCAAGCCCAGAGAATTCCTGAGAATGCATATTGCTGTTCTGTCTTCCCTGACCTCCTCTCCACCAAACCAGTAACTTCTTTCTTAGTCCATCACCAACTGGGACTTGCCCCGTCATAGCCAAATGCTGACTAGAACTGCATCAAGTAAGACAGCTGAAGGCTCTCATCATCTTACCATCTCCTCCCTAATGCCAGCAGAGCTTTGTGTATGTTGTTGGCACGAGGAAATCTACTGGAGGGAAAAGGGTCCCGTAATTAGAACAAATGTACGGACATGCAAAGAAAGTTGGGACTACACCCAGAATCCCTTCTGTGCTGGCGCTGCTAAATGTTTTAAACTGTTGTTTAAAAGTTTTAAATTGTTGTCGTGTATACCTAACCTTTCAGCTCAGCAGGGCCACATAATCTCTCATAAAGGCATCACTTGGACCTTCCGAGGTCCCTTCCACCCTGAATTATCCATCCTATGACTGTATGAAACTCGAGGGCTCACAAATTTCGTAATAGGGTATGGAAACGTCCTCTCATAGCCTGATAATCATCTGTGATGGGTGAGCGAGGGAAGGAAGGAGGGAAGGGGGTTGGGCAGGGAAGGGAAGATGCCTGCATTTTATTATTAGAAGAAAGAGCTGGGGAAGGATGGAGAGAAACGGCTGAAGAGAAGTTGCATGCCTGCCTTTTATTATTAGAAGAAAAAGAGCTGGGGAAAGATGGAGAGAAACGGCTGAAGAGAAGTTGCTTGCACACCTGTGGAGTGGCTACTTTGGTTGCAATTCGTTCTGTGTAACAGCTACCAGTTTTCCACCAGTAACGGATTGTCCCCCTCGCGTTGTATCTCACTTGCCCTTTGGTCATCTGGGAGGTCCTGGTCTCCCTCATCATGGCAGCAAAACACTTTTCTGCTCTGTTCCCTTTTTGACTTGCAGCACCAAGGTCTCCTAGCATCACTGGGGGTTGAAATCCCTTTGCTAACATTTTTTACAATGCAGGCAGAAGTTATAAACGATCAAGTCTGCACACAGCATTCTGCCTTCCTTTGCAGTCCTGTGCATTCGCCTGACTCCTACAGTTTCCGTAGCATGGCTGTCCAGTCGTTTGATTTTGGTTTTTCATCCTTTACAGAGGGAATTCATTCAGTTCTGCAAAACCTTGTATAGCATGTTTCATGAAGATCCAGAGGAGAATGATTTGTATCAAGCCATTGCCACTGTGACCACACTGTTACTCCAGATTGGAGAAGTAGGACAAAGAAGCATCAGCCTGGGGAGCGGATCGGACGAGTTCACCGAGGACTTGCAGCCTGAGGCCTCAGCTTCAGACCAGGATGCTGTTTTTACCGACACTGTGAAGACCCCTCACAAAGACTCTCAACCTTCACCTGTGACTGAGGGGGACTGGACTGTCTCTTTTGAACATATTTTAGCGTCCCTCTTGACTGAACAGTCATTAGTTAACTTCTTTGAAAAACCCTTAGAACTGAGGCCAAAACTTGAGAACGCAAAGCTAAATCAATATAGTCTCAAAACAAATGGAATGAGCTGCCAGTCACGGGGTGAACATACAAAACTAAACACACAGTAGCAGCACATCTGTCAAAAATGAAATGCACTGACATTATGCCAAAGCACATACTGTAAAAGGCTTTCAGTTAGCAGTGGACTTTTGATAAAAAAATCTGTTGGTCTGTGGTTTTCAGTTTAAGAGCTTTAAAAGCTAAAGGGTGTGTAGGTTTGTTTTGTGCCATTGATTTATTAATTATGTTCTTGTTTTGAATGTAAAAGGAAACATCTGTCTACAGCGTGAAGACACTGAAGCCCTCTTCCGCACAGGGAGAGCAGAGGCTGGCTCCAGTTGTCTTTTTTTTTTTTTTTTTTTTTTTAAAAACAGGGGAAAACACTTCTCAGCTACTGTCCGCAGTTTGTTTGGGTTGCCTTTTTTGCACTAATACTGAAAACTGTTTCAATGCTGGTAATTGAAACTATTTTAATATATTTGATTGTATTCCAATTTGTATGTCTTGCTGAAATGTTAAGTGTACATGGACTGTGCTTCTGATGTTGGTCTGTGAAAACATGCACTTTTCAATAAACCCTTTTTGTACTAGACTTGCATTGACGGTATTTATCGATTTATGCAAGGTAAGCGCCTTTAGTCCCTACTTCATTGAACAAATTCCCTGAGGCAGCGTGCTCACAGTTAATTCACTGGTCAGAACCCCACGTTTCAGTGTAGTGCACAGACTTGCTTGGGAGAAGCCTACTGATTCCGCCTAGGAGACCAGCGGGGGACCAAATACAGGGAGTTTACTTTATCCACAAGAGATTACACACATGAAAGTATTGATATAACAGTTTTGGGAGTTGTTGTTTTTTTTGGGGGGGGTGTGTTATTTTGTTTTTTAAAACAAACTTGGCCTTAACTTGAAAATGCCTGTGCAGTGGCTCCTTATTCCCACAGGAACAAAACAAGAACACTAGGACTTTGCCACCCACATAGGAACATTCCCATCTCCTCTCACATCCAACAGAAGTCTACAGTATCTTTAATTAAGAAAATTACACCATTATGTACAAGCCCAAAGAAAGCAAGATACTTTGTTTGTCACCTGTTCAACTCAATGCTTCATGGATGACAGCTTGAAGAGACTGGATAATAAAAAAACCAACTTAGGAGTAAACTTTCTTTTTATCCTTTTATTGTAATGAAAATCAGTTTAATTTTCATCCACATTGACTGTCTGTAGACCTGCAAAACAAGAAATTGTATCACCACCTATTACTAGGACAATTCCCTCTATGTATATGCAATATATGTATATTCACAAGAAAGCGCACCTATAGTTTCAAAGCTAGTTTGCTGATCTACTTCTGGATGAGCAAACTACGTAGGCAAGTATTTCACCAAATGTTAAGACAAAAACTTTCATGTTAAATCAATTCTGCAAATAAGACTTCTCAGGTGACAAGCAGAAAAGGCTCAACCTGCTTTAGCTTTTGACACCAGAGGATGTACTTCATATAGGAAAACACAATCTTTAAACTACCCTGTTTTTTATTCTCTCAAAATTTACAGGATTATTTCACTAATTCCATATTCGCTTTTTAACGCTGATCAGGCAAGCTACCAGCCCTGTTCTCTACAGCAGAGCTAGTTTAAGCCAGCGGTTCGACCCCCTCAGCATGCTTTTCATCTGAATTTTGCATTGCAGGAGGAGCCGTCCCACTTTGCTACTTGTTCAGAAGAACATGGCACGGAGGAAGAGAGGCGGCATGCAACCTTACCTTTGAATGTTGTGACTGGTACGTAGGTAACCAGCGTGTATAGCTTGTTTGGTGAATCTTCATCCTCATTGCGCTTTCGGGACAAACGCACGCGGATACGGTAAGGAACATTCCTAAAACGAAGATGACAGATTAATTTTCTATAAAATATGTACTGAAACCTGTTAATTCATAGAAAAGAAAAGTTCTCTGCTCCATGGTTACTACCCACCCCCCCCCCCCCCAAATTCTTTGGCTATTTGTGCAAAGACATGATGAGTCAATTCTGTTTCTATCTCAGCATCATAACCAGAGCGAAATCCTGTACCTTAGAGATTGTACTGTTTGCCTTAGAGGAGCTTTTTTTTTTTTGTTAAAGCAAGCAGGTAAGATTTAACTGAGTCTTGAATAAGATGAATCCATAATCCAGTGGGAGCATGAAGTCAGAAGTGCATCATCAGTCCACTACTGATCCAGGAAATACACTATGAAGATGATCATGAAGCACAGCGCGAAGATGACCAGCAAAGCAGCTGTTACTAACAAGCATTTCTTACTCAAATAGAAAACAGTGAAGGGGAAACCCCCCCCCAACAATCTGTTCTGAAAGCCTGAGGCCCCTGTCAGGAGTCAGAGTACTGCCCAATCTGTATGCCAGAAGTCGGGTGGAAATTCTAGTAAGCATTAGACCTGAACCAAGACTTTGTTTATGGGCATACACCTGATCAACATTTCTTCCTCACAAAGCCCACGGAACCACAACTAAATTGCTCAGATAATTTTGTTCTTAATAGGCAAGTCGCAGCTCAGTGTCCTCCCCTAATAGTGCCCAAAATATGCTGCTGAGGGAAGGCACAAAATTATTTGTCTGCACCATTTTTAAAGTAACCTCCCACCTCAAATGAACTCAGGATTTTGGGAAACTCCTGTTTGGAGTAATTTGTCCCACAGAATATGAGAAGGAACTTCCTCCTTGCTGTACATCCTCAGAGCATACTTACTAAATCAGGTGGATGCAGTAATTAAAGACACGGGAACTCGCTTCGATTTACTTCCTTCTTGAAACAAGTCAAAAGCATTTTTTACTACTTAGATCATCGACTATCACACTAGCCGAGACAGTGATTTTAGCCTCTCCTAATCCTTCCAGAGGAAGATGTTTTACTTTGCATACATTAGCTATTCTAACGAGTGAAAACTGCAGTTAAACTCATGCTGGAAAGACGGATGTGATGACTCCGTGCTCCACAGAACGCACTTCTACCAGTTAATAGAAGGAAGTCTTGGTTAGCCTCACTACTGAGCTCCGAAGTTCCGCTGTCACCTGGCTCAACTGCTACTTCTTCATCGTATATGAACTGGAACAGCTCAACAGGCAGGAGAGAGAACCCCTGCCCAGAAGACCCGGTAACTTAGTCCCATCTTCCCACTCTGTTTTTGAAGAAGGGTTGGCCTAAGCACACAACTCCAGGTAAAGGATTGTAAATATGTCATAGGCTAGACTCAGGAACCTAATTCCTAGAAGACATGGTTTAAAGCAAGGGTTCACGCATATCCAGTGTATCACTCACAGTATTAATCCCTACCAGTTAACCTTTTATTATGGTTTAAGAGGTCCCACTCCTCACAGGAGTCCCTTTGGACCGTCTTCATGCATGTCGAACGCCAAATCAGCTGCCTCTGTAGCAGCGATTTAACAGAAGCTGTGATTTTTTTGGCCCCCAAACTACTTGTACTTTCAAGACAAGATTAACGGCCCTATTTAAAACACACCTCGTTATTTCTTTGTGTAGCATGCTGAACTGATAAATGCTTCGAAACCTAATCCTGTTCAGACACATTACACAAATTCCAGGTACTTAGCCTGGGACTGTAGGTAGCACTAAAAAGCCATGTTTCTAAAAACTGTCTGCTACAACAGGCATTGGGGTACTACAGCATTACAATATCCCGATCCTTCCCCCACCCCAAACCTGCATTCCTTCTTTCCTTTGCTTTATTCTTATTAGAGGTAGAATGAAGTTCTTTCAATCCCAGAGTTTACCGAAGCTTTGCTACAAGTACAGTGAGGGAGCTGACCAGAACATAGAGGTGACAGAGAGATTAGCTTGGCATGCACACTGTAAGAAAGGAAGCATTTGCAAAGAAAATGCAAATACTGCAAGAAGGATACAAATTTTTCTACCCCTCCAAGTCCTGTGCCTCCATATACACAGTTAAAACGTTCTTCCTCACCCAATAAGGAAAGTTGCAGAAACCTACCTTATTCCTTTAGCCCAGACTGCTTTGTTCAATCTGGTGTCAATGCGAACGTCAGGAGTACCCATTTCCTTCATCGCAAATTTACGGATTTCCTTGAGAGCACGCGGTGCTCGTTTCTTGAAGCCCCTAGGACAAACACAAGAGCAATTTCTTTAACTTCAGGAAACTGTCAGCATTGGACACTTGTTGCAGCACTCAAACGCTGATGTTCTCCAAACATACAATCGAAAGAACTGTGTTCAACAGCAGTTCAATAGCCGCATCGTAGCATGACCAGACCTTTACTCTGGTAGGTAGCTGCTAACCAGAAACCACATATAGTTATGTCAAATAATTTCAGTAAAATTTTGCAGCTGCAGGACCTCCTGGATCTTAAGTCTTATTTATAACATGTCGACATGAAAACTTCTTGCAGTATTACTGAAGAGATCGGAGCCTTCACAGATACTCTAAATGGAAGGTCTGTTAAAAAAGCAGTGCCGCAATGGTAATACAAACTTGACAGAACTGTTCAGTACCGAAATAATCAGCAGAACAACAAAACTGATGGTATTCTGAGTAACAGCTTCTGCTAAAGGGTGTTTGATGGTTACTTTCTTCACGTCATCACGACTGGACCGCCATCAGAACTGTTTTTTTACAAGTATAGCTTGTCTCATGCCTATTATGGACAGATTCTGCATGACTGGGCATTTACACTGAACGTTACAGCTGCGCTGCGAGAGCTTTGCTATAGATATTGCACCCACACTGTGACATGCGGCTGTAGTGTCAGTAGGGTCTAAGGTCCCACAGTGGGTTGTATTTAGTATTCTTTGTACGCTACTGTTGATATTTAGTGCTAGAAATCACGGGGGGGTGAGTGATTAAAAGCGAGACAAGCATTAAACAAAAAGTATTTCCCCCCAGCTCTTCATGCCTAAAGAGAAAAGAGGGTAACACCAAAAGAAAAGGGGATAGCAGGATCATCGTCATTAAGAATAGACTGAAGCGCCACAAACAACCAACAGGCAAGGCCAGAACATCTTACTGCCACTTAAAGGTACCACTGCCTCCCATCCTCAGCCACAGTTTTGTCATAGTCCGCTGTCTCGTTTCTCTCCTATTCTACGTTAACTTCAGCAATTTCACCAATTGTTTTGAGTCGGATATAGGGTTTTTTCGGCATGACTGCAGCCGTACAGATACAGAGAGAATCGAAGGGAGATGCAGTTTCTCAACAAGTCCTCTCAAGCACTTTACTACTACACCGTTGTACGAGGTTCAACGTTTTGTCAGGTAAAAAGTTACTCTCATCTACACACAACTAATACTGTTTAACCCAAATCACACCCCAATTTACACCTCGCACAATTTAGTGATAAGCACGGAACCAATCATTTGATTACAACAATATTTAATTTCTAAAACCTACTGTAGCGGGCAAAATTTTAAACTTCGCTTGGGAAAGAATGACGACCTGTGCACAGAGGTGAACAGCTCTAACTTCAAATTACGTCCAGGAACACTCACAAAAAAAAATAAACAAGCTTGTTCCTGAAAGCCCCCTGCAGATATAGGTCTGCACAGGTACAGAGCTGCTTCCTCGGGACGCAACTGTAGCACAAGGGACTGAAACATCACGCATCGGCATCGGTGCCGGTAAGGACTGTCGTCCTCCGCAGTTCAAAACCTACCGAACCCACTTCCAAACGCCACTTTACATAAGGCCAAGTTCACCCATAAAAACCAAGAACTTACACGCCATGGATCCGCTTGTGAATGTTGATGGTATATTCCCTAGTTACCACCTCATTGATAGCAGAGCGTCCCTTCTTCTTCTCGCCACCCTTCTTTGCAGGAGCCATTTGAGCAACGCTGAAAAGCATCCGTGCACGCGTCAAACCCAGACCCAACTTCCCTCAAACTTCTCCCCTGTCACCTTCCCTCCTCCCACCCTCCCCAGCGCCTTACAAGCCACACAACTCCCAATTCAGAAACTTAAATTCATCCCCAGGGTCGCACCAGTTGCAGGTTTTAAGCAGCAACTTTTCAGCATCACGAATGCTTTACTCCCATCTCCCTGACAGGAGCATGAAACACATCTGAGACTCTTCGGCCACTTCCCAAGACGACCGGGCTCCTGCCCAGCCCCAAGCACCCTCAAAACCACCCTGTCCTGCTTCTGTACGTCCAAGCCCCTTCCTCCTTCAAGGCGACCCAGGAGGGCTGCTCGGCCCGTCTCGGAAAGCAGATGACGGTGCCAGAGAGGCTCCTTCCAGGGACTGACGGCGGCCTACGGCTTCCTCCTCCCCCGCCAAGGCCCAGCACGGGCCGTAACCCCGCCACAAGCGCCCCGCAGGCCTCCCC